CCCCAGCCGCTCCCCAGCAGACCTGTGCTCCAGACCCTGCCCCAGCTCCGTTACCCTTCTCTGCCCACGCTCGAGTCACTCAATGGCCTTTTTGGGGTGCGGGGCCCAACACTGAACCCCCTCAGCGAGGGGCGGCCTCCCCAGTGCCCAGCCCAGGGCTCAGATCCCTTCCCTGGCCCTGCTGGCCACGCCAGTGCTGACACAAGCCAGGATGCCGTTGCCCTCCTTGGACACCTAATGCAACAGACCGAAGAAAGAAAAGAGCAATATCCCATTTCAGCAATGCCAAACCTGGTGTAACTTCAGTCAGCTGATGCGGGTGTCCCTGGGGGATGTTGCATCATGCAGAGGCCACTCAGGGTCTTACTCCAGAAGATGCATCAGGGATGACATACCCGCTGGGGTTCCTCCTGTGCCGCTTCAGAGCCAATTTGCTCACACACACACAAGTTTTAGTAAGAGGCCAGAGAGACAAGATGGGCTTGAATCTCTCAGTTGTTGGGAAAAAGCTTAAAAGTACCAGTTTGGCTCTGAATGGGAAAGGATGAGCATGCCGCATGATGCTCAAATAACAGGTAACGTGCAAATTAACCTTATCTTCAGCGGTGGTCACCAGCAGCACAACGCGTTACCTTCCGTCTCTGTATACCACTATTTAACATGTATATCAATTTGACGTTTCTAACACTGAGATCAAATACCACGGTGCAAATTAAGATGTCTTCGCAGACGTCAGAGCGCTTTTATGCAATGCTCCAGCAAACCAGCCACTCCTCCTGCGAGAGTGGTGGGAGTCCCACTGGTCCCGGCTCATTAAGGCACTTTCTCCGCAGAATGCTTTGTGCAGCTGGCTGGAAACACCCCTGCACTAGCAAAGGAAATCCTGCCGACTCAAAAGTTTTCTGCAAAATGCTGAGCTGTCTCCAGTCCTTCCACCAATTCCTGAGGGCAGGCAGGAAGGATGGATGACCTTCTCCCAGGATTTATGCTTTGCACACCCTATTGGATAAGAACTCCTTGACCACACTAAAATGAGGTCAGCAATTCTTTCTCTTCTAACAAGAGCAAAACACGCACCTGGCCAATTTTTATCAGCTCTCTGGCACCCTGAGGCTCTTTTCTGTGCTGGGCTTGCACCACAGAGCATCCCTGGCTCCAACCCAAGCTACCCACAAGCAGCAGCTGGCCCCTGTGGAGCACTGCAGCCTCACAGATGGGGGAAGCTTCACATTGCCTCCTCCCAAAAAGGATCCCATGGGGGCAAGAATCACGCTAGCTTTCTGCTCCCCAAGCCTGCGTGATGCCCAGCAGTTCAGCTCTACAGGCACCAGGAGGACAAGTCAGTTGTTCTTCCACCCCATAGCAGTCCCAAAAAGAAGATCCTTTGACCTCGACCGTCATCAGTCACCCATGCTTGTAAAACTCCTATGCTACCACCTAATTAATTACAGTTGAGATTCATTAGGAAAACCCCAGAAATAGATATTCGGAAACCAACAGGACCGTTGACATCTGGGTGCATGCTCTGGGTTCTCCATCCTGAGGTCTCCAGAACTTCACTGGGGACCTGGGATGGCAAGCAGTGACTGGGAGGTGGGCAAGGGCGACCCTAAGTCTTTGAGCTCTCGTGTTGTTACGATACTCGTAAACACCGTTTGAACATTTCATGATATCTGGGGTGTTACAGTTTTCACACCTCTGAGCTCAAACAGTTCTCCCAC